ACCGACGCTGCTGTAATACCCTCTGCTCGCCGTGGTCCCCCATGGGCAGAGAGGAGCCGTCACGTGCACTCTGCCCCTTTGTGCCCAACCCGCGGCCCTGGCTGGAAAGCCCCTTGGAACTGCGAATGGGGGGCGGGCAACCCCCTGAGCCCCCCAGCTCCCCTCTCTGCTCCTCCCCCGCAGGCAGCCGCAAGTGTAAGAAGGGCTTTCTGCACTGCATGAACGGGCGCTGCCTGGCCAACGCCTTCTGGTGCAACGGCATGGACGACTGTGGGGACAACTCGGACGAAGTGCCCTGCAACAGTAAGCGATTCCCCTCCCGTTCCTGGTGCTCGCGTGCCGCAGGCGGCTCCGGCACCGGGTGGGCCTGGTGCTGTCCCAGCCTGCTGCGTGACGGAGGCAGGGCTGGAGGGCAGCGGTGGGGGGGGTCAGACTCCCAGGTCAACCCCCCAGACCCGGCCTCGGCGGCGGTCTCTGCGCAGCAGGGCAAATGGGAGCGGCTGGACCTTCCTCTGTCTGCCTTGGCTTCTCCCGCCGTGGCTAGGAATCCCGACCCATCTCCAGCGGTCGGGGAGATTCTCTCCGCAGATACTCGAGTGAGATGTGGGTATTTCAAATGGTGGGGGGTGCTGGAGCCATGTAACGTACCTGGAAAGAGAGAGACCCTTCGCCCCGAGGCAGTTTGCAGCGTACCTGGTGGCTTTGGGCTCTTCGTACATTTTGTAAGTAGAGGAGAGTTCAAATAATCCCTTGCCAAGGCTGCCTGGGCAGCTGTGTGTGCAGAGCGTGGGCGTGTTTGCACGTGGGAGACACACACATACACACACGAGCGTAGGCATGTTTGCATGTGGGAGACACGCATACACGAGCGCTGGCGTGTTTGCATGTGGGGGTTACACACATGAGTGTGGGTGTGTTTACATGTGGGACACATGTACATACACCAGCACCGGTGTGTTTGCATGTAGGGGACACACATGTACACACACACACGAGCATGAGGGTGTTTGCATGTGGGAGACACATACACGAGTGCTGGCGTGTTTGCATGTGGGAGACACGTACACGAGCGCTGGCGTGTTTGCATGTGGGAGACACACATACACGAGCGCTGGTGTGTTTGCATGTGGGGGCTACACATGAGTGCGGGCGTGTTTACATGTGGGACACACATGTACATACACGAGCACCGGTGTGTTTGCATGTAGGGGACACACATGTACACACACACACACAAGCATGAGGGTGTTTGCATGTGGGGGACGCACGTACACACACGAGCGGGGGCGGGTTTGCATGTGACACACACACATTTTGCCCAGAGGATTTTTGCATCAGTCCCAAACTCCCCAATGTAAAGAGGGGCAGAGCCCGACCCCCGCTGGGCGCAGAGCACTAGTGAACTCGGAGGAGGAGGAGGCACCAACTCACGTGTATTCCTGCTGGGCGGGCCAGGCCGTGCCGCCGACACCCGAGAACTGCTGTTTTCGGCATGGCTGACACTGTGGCAGGAGGAACGTGGTGTGTGCCCAGATCTGTGTGCCCCCTGTGCCGGTCCTGCGCACCGGGGAGAGGGCCCCGTGCCATCCTCATGGGGGCAGCACCCAGCTGGGTGCCAACGCTGAGCTGTCTGGTGCTTCAGGAGCATCTGAGAACCAGGCAGCCTCTTGCCCAGCCCTGCTCACCATTCCAGTGCATGAGGGGCCAGGTTCCCGGTGCTTCCTTCCCCTTGTCAGGCAGGGGCCCGGCAGCAGGGGTCTGAGTGTGGACTCTCCTCCGGAGAGGAGCGGCGTGGGGGGCCGGGATAAACACAGGCAGGTCACTCCCGAAGTGTCCTGTTAGGCTGTGGAGGCACAAACCCCGCTCCGAGAAGGACCAGGGTCCTGCAGGGAGAGCTGAGAACTCTGCCACTGAGCATTAGCATGGGCAGCGTGCGCCCCATTGCAGTGAGCGCGAGGGGGGTGTACACCCCATTGCAGTGAGCGCGAGGGGTGTGTGCCCCATTGCAGTGAGCGCGAGGGGTGTACACCCCATTGCAGTGAGCGTGAGGGGGGTGTACACCCCATTGCAGTGAGCGCGAGGGGTGTACGCCCCATTGCAGTGAGTGTGAGGGGGGTGTACACCCCATTGCAGTGAGCACCGAGGGGTGTGTTTGTGTGCGTGCGCCCCATTGCAGTGAGCGCGAGGGGGGGTGTACGCCCCATTGCAGTGAGCGCGAGGGGGGGTGTACGCCCCATTGCAGTGAGCGCTCAGGGGTGCGTTTGTGTGTGCGCCCCATTGCAGTGAGCGCGAGGGGCGGTGTACGCCCCATTGCAGTGAGCGTGAGGTACGTGTGTGCGTCCCATTACATTGAGCGTGAGGTACGTGTGTGTGCCCCACTGCAGTGAGGACGAGGGCGTGTGTGTACGCCCCATTACATTGAGCATGAGGTAGTGTGAGCGCGAGGGGCTGCCCGCCGAGCCCCCCCGTAGCTCCGGTCTGCCCCCCTCGTTGCAGAGACCAGGTGTGCGACGACGGAGTTCCGGTGCCGGGACGGGAGCTGCATCGGGAACTCGAGCCGCTGTAACCAGTTCATCGACTGCGAGGACGCGTCGGACGAGATGAACTGCAGTGAGTGCCAGCGCTGCGCGGGGGGGGACCTCCCCTCGCCCCCCCCCCCCCACTGTTCCCCACCCCCAGGCCCTTCTGCCCACCTGTACCCTGCCGTGAGCCAGTTCTTCGGGGGTGGGACTTGCCCGCGCTCCCCTCCCGACTGAGGCCGAGCCAGGTTATTGTGTCCTGGGAACAGGCCCGGCCGCCCTGTCACTTCCAGGCCGCCCTGCACAGCCCCTGACGTGCCGCCTCCCGACAGCTCGTCAGAAGCACTTAGTGAGGTGCAGCGAAACGTTGGGCACGGGAGACGGGCAGAATGGATCAGCCTGGCACCTGCAGCCGGTGTGGGGCGGGTAGGGCTGGTAGCAGGGGGGCAGCAAGGGATCTTCTCCCCTGGCAGTGACAGAGGAGGGCTATGATAGGGGAGGGAGGACAAGTGTGTGTGCAACTGAGTGTGTGCACGGTGTGTGTGTGAGTGCACGGTGTGTGTGCACAGCGTGTGTGCCCGTGCATGTACTGTGCGTGCACAGCGTGTGTACTCGGTTCTCAGCGGTTCCCCCAGTGGCTCTCTGATGTCTGGGCCAGAGCATTGGTCTCCCCTTTCGGGGGTTGTTCGGGCGGCGGCTGCTCCCCGAGCCCTGCTCAGCTGCCAGCCAGTGTTGTGAGGGTGCAGAGGATGGAGGGGACTCCCCTGCCGGGCAGAACACGGGGCGGGCGGCGGCTGGGAGCTGTCCCCTGCCCGCGTGCCGAGGGCAGTATCCACTCCGGGCTTTCCCGTAGGCGCCACCGACTGCAGCAGCTACTTCAAGTTGGGGGTGAAAGGCCTGACGTTCCAGAAGTGCGAGCACACCTCGCTGTGCTACGCCCCGTCCTGGGTGTGCGACGGAGCCAACGACTGTGGGGACTACTCGGACGAGCAGAACTGCCCGGGTGAGAGTGGGGCTGGCCGGTGACGGGATGGGGCTGGGGATCTCGGTAGCCAGGCTCCGGCAGTGCCCTGCCCTGGCACGCCAGCAGGGGCTGCTGGTCACTAGCTGTGTGTGTGGGGGGCGGCTGTGTGGGATTAGGGCGGGGGGGAGGAAATGGCGCACGGCTGTGCTGAGAGCAAACGATCACACACAGGGACGGGGAGAGGCGGCCCTGCCTGGGGAGTTAGTGACTGTCCAGCCCCCGGGGACGGGTGGGGGAGGCACAGGGCTGGGATCAGGGAGCCATACCCTGCTCTGCCACACGCTGCCCGGCTCACCTTGGGTACGTTCCTGCATCTCTGGGCCTCAGTTTAGTCTGTCTCTCGGAGGGAGTCCGGGCAGCATCCCAAGGCCCCCATCTTGCAGTGCTCTGGGGCCCCCGTTCCGGTCAGAGTCCGGCCAGCACAACGGGCCCCTGTCTCGGCTGGGGTCTGGGCACTACCGTAACCCCCAGTCATGGAAGAGAATGTGAGAGGGGAGTTTCTCTGGGTGCCCCCCGTTGACCCCACGCTGCGCCGGCTGATGGAGCTCTGTGCCAGGGTCGGTCTCGCCCTGTCGCTCTGCAGAGCCGAGCCCAGGGTTCGCTGTGCGGTGTAGCCAGGCTCGGCCGGTGTCACCGAACGAACCGTGGTGCCTTTCCCGCCCGCACCCCAGGAGTGAGGAAACCCAGGTGCCCGGCCAATTACTTTGCCTGCCCGAGCGGGAGGTGCATTCCCATGACCTGGACGTGCGATAAGGAGGACGACTGTGAGAACGGCGAAGACGAGACGCACTGCAGTAAGCGCATGGGGCGGGGAGCATGGGATTGTGGGAGGAAGAGCATGGAGGGGACAGACCGCAGTGAGCGCCCCCCCTCCCCCCCCGGTCGTGTTATTCCCAGTTTCTATGACGTGAGTGAGGTTTTAAATCTCTCACATCCGTCTCCCAGGGGCCAGTGATCACCCACTCTCCCCTCCCCGGGGCTGGACGCTCTGGCCCACGTCACTTCGCGCAGACCAGCCCCTCGACTTTTCCCTTCTCTAAAGAACAAAGATCCAATTTCCTAGCCTTGGCTTTACGGTGCCGCCAGCGCAGGGGCCCCTTGCACGTTTGCACACACGATCTCGTGCGACAGCTTCACGCTTGTTTCGGGGCCGGCAGTGAGTTGAGTGCTGGGATGGTGACCCTGACAACCCTTGAGTCGTCAGCCAGCTGAACAGAATGATCAGGGTGGTGTTAGATACCAGTCTGGGTGAGGGTCCTGCTGGCCTTCAACTCGGGGGGCTGCTGGAACCCCAGTTTTGATCACTTAGAAGCTATCAATGTGGAACTTCCACATCCAGCGCACACCGTCCCTGTGATCCTACTGTTCCCACCCCATGAGATCTAGGCCCTGCCTAGCGTAGAGCCGGTGGTATCACCCGCTCAGCCCCATGCCCTGAGCCGCAGCAACAGCAGCATTTGCCCGGCCGAGCGTCCTGTCCCCCTTGTTCCCTTCCCCGAGCTCCTGACGCCGCCCTGAACGCGTCTCCCTCCCCTCCCAGATAAATTCTGCTACCCCGTGCAGTTCGAATGCAACAACCACCGCTGCATCTCCAAGCTGTGGGTGTGTGACGGGGCGGACGACTGCGGGGATGGCTCCGACGAGGACAGCCGCTGCCGTAAGCCCGTCTCCCCTGCCAGGCGGGGGGAGACCCGGAGAGAGGAAGGGGGCCTGGCAGAAGGGGGCCAGGGGTGTCTCTTTAAAATGCAAAGCCAGGGAGCCGTACCTTACCCTTGGGGGAGTGGTGACTAGTGGTTAGAGCAGGAGGGTGGTCTGAACTCCTGGGTTCTGTTCCCAGCTCGGGGAGAGGAGTGGGGTCTAGTGGTTAGAGCTGGGGAGCTGGGAGCCAGGACTCCTGGGTTCTGTTGCTGAATCCGAGAGGTGAGTCTAGTGGTGAAAGCAGCAGAGTGGGGACTCGGGTTCTGTCACTGATTTGCCAAGTGACTGCCTGGTGCCTCAGTTTCTCTCTTTGCAAACTGAGGGGGGGTGGCTCCGCCTGTCCGTGAGGGGGGTGACTCAATCGCTGGGTTTCCAGATGTTCTGAGACCCTCCACCAGAGGGGGCAGTGGATGTGCTACTTATTTCTGTGGTGGGGCGAGAGAGTGACTGCCGGCAGGTCCCCTGGTGTGGGGATGGATTCACGCTCAGGCAGGGTCCTGACCCCACCTGCCGGGATCTCTCGGGGCATACGGGGGTGAGGTGCCCAGGCCCCTCACTGCGCTGGACGCAGCCTCCGTGGGGGAGCCCTCCCAGCACCCCGCACCCTGCCTCTCTCTCAATACCGGCCCCACAAGCCCTGCTCACCCCTCTGTCCCCTACAGGACTGACCACCTGCAGCTCGGGGTCCTTCCAGTGCCCAGGCACATACGTGTGCGTGCCAGAGCGCTGGCTCTGCGACGGAGACAAGGACTGTGCCGACGGCTCTGACGAGTCCTTAGCCGCTGGCTGCTGTGAGTCGCCGTGTGGCTGCGCTCGGTTTGAGGGGTGGGGAAGGGAGCAGCCTATGGGCCGGGGAGCCCCTGAACCGGGGAGCCGATGGCCTGTGGGCTGGGGCAGCCAGCAAGCCGGGGAGCCCCTTTGCCAGGGAGCAATTGACTCCGGTGCTATCACCCAGAGGCTGCAGCGGACCGGACAGTGCTGCTCGGGAGTCAGGCTGCCTTGATTCTAGTCCCGTATGACCTTGGGCCCCCCAGCCCGGTGCCTCAGTTTCCCCCTCTACACGGGGGCAGATGACTTTGCTCCGAAAGGGGGGAAGGGGTTGTGAAGCAGAGCTGGCTAGTTTGCCCCGTGCCTGCCAGCCTGGGCCCCTGTGTGAGGGCTGGGGACAGTTGCGGGGGGCCTGGCTTCGGGGCGCTGATGAGCGGCTCCTCGTTCCAGTGTACAACAACACGTGTGACGAGCGGGAGTTCATGTGCACCAACCACCAGTGCATCCCCAAGCACTTCGTCTGCGACCACGACGACGACTGCGGCGACGGCTCCGACGAGTCCCCGGAGTGCGGTGGGTGTCGGCGTGGAACGGGGCGGGGAGCTGGGGCTGCCTCCACCCCGAGCCCCAGCTCCGTGGCTCCCGGCTCTGAGCGAGACACGCGGGGGGGCGGGGGAGCCCCAGTTCCCACTGAGTTTATCAGAGTGGCGGGTGAGGCTGCGTGAGCTGCCAGCCCCTGCGGAAAAGGCCCCGCCCGGGCGCCGGGGGGAGGCGAAGTGCCAGCTTTCTCTAATCCTGTCCATGCCGTGCCCAAGCCCGTGATGATGCACTGCTCCCCGTGCGCCCGCTCTGAGGACAGGGCCTGGCGCTGGGGGCAGCTGGCCTGACCACGTTCCCTCTCTCCGCAGAGTACCCGACCTGCGGCCCCCACGAGTTCCGGTGCGCCAACGGCCGCTGTCTCAGCAACAGCCAGTGGCAGTGCGACGGGGAATTCGACTGCCACGACCACTCGGACGAGGCGCCCAAGAACCCGCGCTGCACCAGCTCCGGTAGGTGCCTGGGGACGGGCTCCCGGGACTGTATTCTGAGCCGTTGCCATCGTTTCCTGCCCCTTCCCTCACGTCCAGCCCAGTGGGGTCTCCCGTGCTCTGGCCCTGGACTCGGTCCCTTTCTCCCCTGGCCAGCGCGCCCAGCCCTGGGCGTGGCCCTGGCTGGTGCACGGGGAGGGCTGTCGATGGGGTTCCCCGAGCCCGGCGCCTGCGGTGACCCCCCCCTCCCGCCGTCGTTCCAGAGAGCAGGTGCAACGACTCGTTCTTCCTGTGCAAGAACGGCCGGTGCGTGCCCGAGGCCCTGCTCTGCGACAACAACGACGACTGCGCCGACGGCTCCGACGAGCTGAACTGCTTCCTCAACGAGTGTCTCAACAAGAAGCTGAGCGGCTGCTCCCAGGAGTGCGAGGACCTCAAGATCGGCTATAAGGTTGGGTCACTGGGGGGCGGGCCCAACCTGCGCCGGGGGGGGCTGGGGTACAGCAGGGCCGTTGAGAGAGGAGCTGACGAGCGAGCCCGGCTCCTGGCAGCTCCGAGCGGCTGTTCCCCCGTTTGTGTGTGCGCACGCCCGGTGTTTGGGGAGGGGAGTGTGCCTTCACTATTTGTGCAGACTTGTGTGCACTGTGCGTGCCCGCCTGCTAGTTTTGCATACCTTGGCTGTGTATTTATGCGTGTGCACGTGCGGTGATTGTGCGCGCTCACGCCATTTGGGCACGTCCAGGTGTATGCCCTGTTTGTGCCCTCGGGTGTGCACGGTCGGTGCACGCACCCATGCCCCTCCGTGCTGCAGGGCTGCTCCTAACTGCCTCCCGCTGCCTCCTGCAGTGTAGATGCCGGCCTGGGTACAGGCTGAAAGACGACGGGAAAACCTGCATCGACATTGACGAGTGCACCACCACCTACCCCTGCAGCCAGAAATGCATCAACACGTTGGGCAGCTTCAAGTGCCTGTGCACAGAGGGCTACAAACTCAGGCCCGACCACCCGACCAGCTGCAAAGCCGTCTCAGGTGAGAGCAGCTCCGGGGCACCTTTGCCGAGGGGCTTTGCCTGCCGGGGGATCAGACAGAAACCTCTAGGTTTGCGGAGGATCCTGCCGTGTCCGAGGGCTGGGTATCTCTGCACCAAGTCGCTCAAGGAGAGCGCCCGTCAGGTCTGGACTGGCAGGCTGCAGGCCGGGCAATCGGGGTTGCTTTGCCGTGTGCCCTCGCTGGGCCGAGCCAGCATCACGCCAGGGAATCCGGTTCCCCTGGCGGTTTTGCTGGGTGGTTTCTGGCTGACGATGGTTGGGCGGGCTGGAGAAGTCCAGGTTTGGCCTGCCGCAGCGCAGACCAAGTGCCTTTGGCCGGCTCCGTTCGGAGGGTTGGTGGCTGGGGGGGGCAGTTGCCACCAGCTGCAGGGCCCATGCAAAGCTGAGGACAGCATCGGAGTGTCTCTGTGCCTGGGGACGGGGGGATCTGACGCGTCTTTCCCCTGCAGACGAAGAGCCCTTCCTCATCTTCGCCAACCGCTACTACCTGAGGAAACTCAACCTGGACGGCTCCAACTACACGCTGCTCAAACAGGTGCTGCCGGGGGGGGCGTCTGCGCCATCTCCACTGGGCAGCAGCTCCGGCGTGGGCTTGAACTGGGCTCCTCCGGGTGGGGGTAGGGTGTCCCCACAGGCTCCTGGGGTGGAAGCGGTGTCACCTGAGGGGGATTGCACCCCTCCTCCCCCGTCAGGTTTGGGGCTCAGGGAAAAGGCCCCCCTGGTTTAAGGGCTGCTCCTTGGAAGCCACCAGGGGCCTCCCTGATTGACACGAGCTGAGGCGATTTGGGCACCAGGAGGCCCCAGCCCAACCCACAGCTGTGCAGGCTGGGTGGGGGATGTACCCTCCTTCTGCCTCCGCTTTGCCCCCGTGCCCCAGACGTGCCCGCTGCTCAGGGGAGGGGGAGGGGCTCCATCTCGCTTCCTGCCGTGAGCGCTAACGCCAGCCCAGCTCGCAAAGGAGCTCCTTGGTAGCTGGCTGCAAATATGGTAGGCCCTATGCGAACAGTAGGACTGTGCTGATTAGATCTCAGCTGGAGTATTGTGTCCAGTTCTGAGCGCCACGTTTCAGGGAGGATGTGGAGAAAGTCCAGAGAAGAGCAACACAAATGATGAAAGGTCTAGAAAACATGACCTAGGAGGGAAGATTGAAAAAGGGTTTGTTTAGTCTGGAGAAGAGAAGACTGAGAAGGGGACGTAACAGTTTTCAAGTACATAAAAGGTTACAAGGAGGAGGGAGAAGAATTGTTTTTCTTAATCTCTGAGGACAGGACAAGAAGCAATGGGCTTAAACTGCAGCAAGGGAGGTTTAGGTTGGACATTAGGAAAAACTTCCTAACTGTCAGGGTGGTTAAGCACTGGAATACATTGCCAAGGGAGGTGGTGGAATCTCCATCATTGGAGATTTTTAAGAGCTGGTTGGACAAACACCTGTCAGGGCTGGTCTAGATAATACTTAGTCCTGCCATGAGTGCAGGGGACCGGACGAGATGACCTCTCGAGGTCCCTTCCAGTCCTGTGATTCTATGATTCTAATAGCTCCTTGGTCGCTGGTTGCGTCTATGGTAGGTCCTATGTAAATATTGGCC